CGAATAAAAAAATATCGTCACAATTGAGATAGGGCGGGTGGGCGGGCATACATTTTGCCTTTTTGTTCTAATATGTTTAGACTTTTTGCACAACATGAAACTTAAACATGTTTAAAATGGAAAATTTGTATACAGAAATATCGAATTTTTAACCCTAATGATGACTTTCTATATTAAAAAAAAAAACGGCAAGATATAAGCCCCGCCCACCCGCCCGATCTCAATTCTGATGATTTTTTTATTCGTTGTCAGACCGAGGGGCGGAGCGTAATTGTAAAGTCGATATTTCTCTATAGAAATTTACCTTAGTTAGCCCCACCCACCCACCCTTTTTTTTTTCTTAGAGGACATGTCATTTACCAAAATCAACATTTATTTCTTATAACTGAAGAAAAAATGAGAGAACGGGTGGGTGGGCGGGGCTAAATTTAACTTTTTCCTACAGAATCTTTTATAAGTAAGCAATAGCCCCGCCCACCCACCCCTGCGTCATTCCAGTGACTACTCTTAATACTGTTCAGTCCTATTTTAGCAAGTTTTACGTAATTGTTTTGTTATACCACTTATCTGCAATAACATTTATTTCTTATTTCTGCAGAAACAATAAGAGAACGGGTGGGTGGGCGGGGCTTAATTTAACTTTTTCCAATAGAATTTTTTATAAGCAAGCAATACAATAAACACGTCGATAGATTTTTAAACATTGTCTCTGCAATTTTATGACAATACTTTCAATGTTTAACTATAACTGATAAACTGGTAACTAGATTATACGAACATACAAAAAAAATCACCCAACATTTTTACTTCACAAAAAAAAAAACATTATGGTAGAGCTATTTGGTGACCAACATTTAACTATAACTGTGGATAGGAAATCACAAATATGTAACTAAAAAAATATTAGCGACTTTTTGAACATTTTCCTTATATTATAAAAAGTTCAAAGTCAATCTCGACGTAGTCTAACTGTGAATATTGTAAATCGGACAATGTTACACTAAAACCCTTTATTTTTAACTATAAGTGACATCTACAGTTAATTGTGTAGTGGTTTCTTCCACCAGTTATTTTAATTTCCAGTAAAAAATGATAGTTAAAATGAACACACACACCGTGTTTTGTGTAAAAATTGTTACTTTTCAGTGTTTTTTTGGTTAATTCTTTCAAAATTTAATGTAATTAGTAATTATAGTTACCGGAAAATATGAAAATGTCAAATACAAGGAAATTATAGTTACATAACTTCTACTTCTAAAATTGTTATCTTCAAATTACAACTAACATATTCATTGATACTTACAATTAGCTAAAGGTAATAATGTTGATCATTGAAATATTTCCAAATTGACTAACTAATTTAACATAATCGTTTTTGGCAGCTAACTGGAATTAATATTATTGTTGGTAAATATACTTCAAGTCTTTAACTACCTACTAAATCTATGATTAAAGGCTGCACAATAGGGTGACCCATCAGACGTGACATAAAACGAAACTTTTAAAATACATTGCTCCTACCCCTTCAATGGGTGCATTCGATTAATACGTAATTGCAGAAAAAAATGTAACACATTTGTTGACCTCTAAAAGGTCGCTCAAACTGTTTGAAATTTTAAAATCACTGAGTTAATGTATAAGCATACAAAACATGTGTTAAAAAACTTGTATAAAAAACATGACAAAAATTTATCAGTATTTTTTTATCTTCAATGTATTTAGGGGAAGAACTCGTGGGAGTCGCATTTTTTGATAGCGAAATTTCTGTGGTACACAAAAAGCTAATTTTTAAAGCTCTCACAAAACCACAAAAGAACTCAAGGAAAAAAGCGACAGTTGCCCAATCTGAAATGCTGGGAAATAAAATTTCGCTTGACTATTTTGTCACTGAAAAAACAAAATGCTTCTTTGATAAGCTAGGGTTAAGTTCTAATTTTTTAAATATACATCCTTTACATTGGGAAAATGATAACGAATATCAACAAAATGTTGAATGTATCAGTAAACTAAAAGTAGTAAATGACTGTGCTGAGCGAGGTGTGGCGCTTGTACAAGAATATAATACTTCATTATCGAAAAACGAAAGTGAGAAACAAAACGTACTACAAGTGGTACCTACAAGCTCATCGAAAAGTCTATCCGAATTGCAACAAAAACACATTGATGAATAATTCAATTAACTGTTTGCTTTAGTTTTACTTATTATACCGTTTTATAATTTGTTAAACTGTGTAATATGTGAAATAGAGTAATATATATTTTTGGTATTCGTACTTTAGTTATTCTCTTTGAGCAACCTTTAAAACTTATTTTATATGAATGTGCTTTAACATACAGTTTTTTTAACTCATTTAGCAACTGTTCCGAAGGTAGGACAGATAATTTTTTAATTTTTAATTTTTGGGTCAGCCTACTGCACAATTATTATACTTAAATTTAAGGTTGATTTTATCACGATTTAAATAACTATAATTGATAAATGAACAATTAAAGTCAGTACAGAAAATAATAAACATTTCGATAGATTTCCAAACAACGTCAATACAATTTTAAGAATACTTCCAACATTTAACTATAACTGATAAATTGGTAACTAGATTATACAGAAAAGGACAAAATCGTAAATATAACAATTACCATCAGCGATTTTTACCCAACGTGTTCATAATAGATCAGTTCAGAAGTTAGCTGCCATTACTAACTATCATTTTCACATTTTTGTCCAAAAAAATAGGACTTCGATGTTGATTGTCGAAATATTTCCGAGTTAACTATCTTATTCAACAGCTAACTGTAATTAATATTATTGGTAGCAAACATACTTCAAATCTTTAACTGCCTACTAAATCGATAATTAAATGCTGCATAGTTGTTATAATTTTATTAACTTTATCATGCATTAATTTAGATTTATAACTATAATTGATAAATGAACAATTAAAGTTTACAAAAATTTAAAAACGTCGATAGATTTTTAAACAGTGTCTATGCAATTTTATGATAATACTTTCAATGTTTAACTATAACTGATAAATTGGTAACTAGATTATACGAACATACAAAAAAAAACCCAAATCAGAAGTTATATGTCATTATTAATTAACATTTTCACATTCACACCATCATGGTATAGTTAGGGCTATTTGGTAAGGCGCTAATTTCAACATTTAACTATAACTGTGGATAGGAAATCACAAATATGTAAATCAAAAACTATTAGCGACCTTTTTGAACATTTTCTTTACATTATAAAAAGTTCAAAATCAATTTGGACGTAATTTAACTGTGAATATTGTAATCCGACAATGTTACACTAAAACCCTTTTTTTAACTATAAGTGACATCTTCATTGATAACTACAGTTAGTTGCGACTTACCAGTTTTATGATTCTACAAGCGATTATCACAGTTAATTTCAAGCAAAAAATTATAGTTAATGAATACAATACAGTTAATATTAGTTAAAACGAACGCACACACCGTGTTTTGTGTAAAAACTGTTAAAATGTTTAAATCTAATGTACTTGGTAATTATAGTTACCGGAAAATATGAAAATGTCAAATAAAAAGAAATTATAGTTACATAACTTCTAAAATTGTTCTTTTCAAATTACAACTAACATGTTAATTGATAGTTACAATCAGCTAAATATTATCGAAATATTTCCAAGTTGACTATCTAATTTAACATAATAATTTTCGGCAGCTAACTGTAATTAATATTACTGTTGGTAAATATATTTCAAGCATTTAACTACCTACTAAATCGATAATTAAATGCTACCGTTATTATAATTTTGATGTTGATTTTATCACTTATTAATTTGAATTTAGATAACTATAATTGATAAATGCGCAATTAGAGTCTGTACTGAAATTAATAAACACGTCGACAGATAAATATCAACCAGATTTCTAAACAGTGTCAATGCAATTTTATAAGAATACTTTCAACGTTTAACTATAACTGATAAATTGGTAACTAGATTACGAGTACTTAGGAAACGACAAAATCGTAAATATAACAATAACCATCAGCGATTTTTATCCAATTAGGGTGTTAACTAACATTATTAACTATCATTATCATCAAATTTACGTCGTAACAAACAATTTTTTAGGATTGTAAACAATGCAAAAGAATTTAAAGAAATGTTAACTCACTTTGAGTTATGTAACTACCGTGTAACTGCTAACAATAACTAATCTTTTCAATTATAGTTTCGTACGTAGATTTTCTAGACATTTATTTAAACATTTAACTATAATTGATTAGTCGGAAAGTAACAAACAATTTTTTGGTTCATAAACAGTAGAAACGATAGACGAAGGATAATACAAACAGTTTGAACGGACTCTAAAATTATGCAATATTAATTTTAGTGTTAGTTTTATTACGTCATTAAAATTTTGAACAACTAACTATAATTCAAATTTTTATTGGACTGTTATGCTCTTAGATTCAGCTGTAATTCACACCAGATGTTTGACAAATTGTATAAAATTACAAACGTGTTTGTCGATAATTTTACATGTTTGAAAAGAAATTTATGAGACGTTATTTGTGCATTCTTAACTATAAGTGATAAATTGAGACCCCGATATTAAAAATAATGCTGTAAATAGAAAAATAGAACTGTTTATTCGGAAGCTGCGACTGTTGGTTGATTTTGTGTTATAACTATTTTTTTTTTGTGTTTAACTATAGTTAGTTCTTTGTCCGTCCAACTATATATGAAATGATCATTTTGATAAAAACACTCGAAGCCCATTTTCCCTCCGCAAAACTAGCATCGATTTGATCTTTCCTCCACCCATCTATCTGTTATCAGATTGCGATATACCGTATGATTTATTGCCCTCTAACCTTTCTAATCTATTTTCTATTTTTACACTTGATCCCTCATTAAATTTACATTCCCCTCAGGAATGTTCCCACAACCGCTCCTTCCAACCCCAAGCCACCAGAAAGGAAGCATCCATCCACATCTGGCACTCACCTCAGCGAAATTCTTCTCCGACTCGTCGAACATCCTCTGGCCCTCGCACGCCGGCACGCAGTTCCCCACGTCGTTGGCCACCAGGTTCCTCCCGCACTCGAACCTCTGCACCGCCGCGTCCACCGGCGCCGTGATGTCAATCCCCCGGTCCTTCGGGCCCTCCATGCACATGTGCTCGTGGTTGTTCTCCGTCGGGAAGCGGCTGCAGTTCAGGGCTTCCGGCCACGAGAATCCGAACCCCTTCAGCACCGGGTAGCACCTGGAGCGCACGCTCTCGCACAGCCCCCGGCACGGCCCGATGGGGCTGGCCACCTTCTCGGTGCACATGGGCACGTAGACCGAGCACAGGAAGAGCTTCAGCTGCGCGCTGCAGCCGTACTGGATCAGCGGCGAGAAAGACTTGAGCGTGTAGTCGGCCTCCTGCTGGAGGTCGTTGCCGCCGAGGTTCGGCATGCCGGTGAGGTTGTAGCCCAGGCCCGTGCACATCTCGACGCGGATGGGCTCGCAGGAGCGCAACAGGGGCTCGGCGGACGCCGTCGCCACGGCTAAAACCACCACGAGCAGCATCTTCGACGGCGCGCGGACAACTGAGATGTGCCGCGACGGAGCGCAGCGAGATGGCTGAGGAATGTCGAGCGCAACCGAGCGCGCACGAGCGGGAACCGGATATAACACATGCTTTAAAGTGGTGTGTTGTAGTTGGAGCACCTTGCGCTTATAAACATTTGGAGGTGTTTACTTTGGGATGCGGTAGATAACGCCACGAGGTAATTGTGGCGATTGGGAAATGGGCGACGGGAGATCAAAAGATGGGTTGGATGGGTGCCGACACCTGATGACCTGACGAGGACGGGCGGATTTGTTGGCTTTGGAGAGTGTTTACGTTGGGGTATTTTGGGGGGCCAGGTTGGTTGGCGAATTGGGTAAATATTTGGTAATTTATTGGAGTGGGATTAATCATTTTTTAAATCAGCGTTGTGTGGAATGGCTTTAACGCGGTAAATATTTACAACAAGACGAAAATTGTTTTGTTTGAAAAGTACACAGACCGCCGGCTTTTCGTGAACAGACGTAAACGGACTGACGCACGTGTAAAAGTAGGCTGTGATGACCAAAAGTCAAGGCGGATTCATAAAGCACAACTACATTTCGTAAAAATTCTTGAAGATCCACAATCGCATTCACATAAATATTTCTAGCATTTCACGTCTGAATTCTCCCACCCGTTACAAACCATCCGTTTATTTTCAAGCCTAACCATAATCACCCAACTAAACGCAGCACTCTTTGATGTAGCTTGGAAAAAATCAATTAGACGTTTCTGAGTAATTTACGAACGCCAGATCTCACTCCACTTCACCCAGTTTTCCTTGACGTATGTACAGCTGACCTAAAATTATCGCAGTGTTTTGGCTTTGATTTAACGAATTTTTACGTCTAAAATTCGATGAAACCACATCTGCATAATCTGCATGAAGATAAACTATCGTTAAAATGGTCCTATTAGACTGCTCGCTAATTTGCCACGCGAGCCGCGGGCGAGCGTTGCAAATCGCTTCCGCGTAAGTAATTGCCGTCATTATACGGTTGCTAAATAAGACACTATCACTCAGGTACAAGCACTTTTTTAGTAGTAATGAAAGACACACACGTAGATGCGAGTGTTTCAGTTTGGTGATGATGACAATTTCGCCGGATTTTTTCGGTCTAGAGAAACCAGTGTTTTTGTATTCTATGTCCAAGAAGGGTCCATTTGGTTTTCACAAAGGCTACGTTTTAGAAAATACTGTGAATATTTCGAACTTACCCAAAGGTATTCAAAAATAACCTTCCTTTGACACCAGGTTTCTTAAGGTTTATTGTAACCATAATTCCAAAAAATCAGTCTGAGAGAGAACTTCCCTCACCCTCAAAGCAAAACCAAACCAATCTAGTTCCACAAAAAAATTTAAAAAAAGCGGAAAAAGTACAATACAAACAAAAATTCGAAAACGAAAAAAAAAGGTAAATAAAGACGAAAGAAGGGTGTTACGAATAATGAGACAAAAAAGGCTACAAAAAAGTCGATGAAAATAAAAAAAGCCGAAAAAAAGCATTAAAAACAGTGAAACAAGAATCGCGAGAAAAAATAATCGATAAAAAAGAAGACAAGAAAGAAAGGTGCTAAAAATGAGTAAAAAAGGGAACAAATAAAAAAAGATGAAAAGGGGCAGAAAAGAAGGCGAAAAATAGGTTGAAAGAGACTTAAAAATGTTACAAAAAACCAGGGAACTGAAAAAAAGTGCGTTAAAAAAGGCTATAAAAAGATGCAAAAAAAGTACGCAAAAAGGGGGCGCAAGAAAATGTGACAAAAAAAAGGGCAAATAAAAAAAAACGATGGTGTAAAAATATTACAACGATAAAACATGAAACAAAGAAACGAACCCAAAAAAAAGGCCATTAAAAAACTAAAATAAAAAAGTAGGTGGAAAAAAATAGACGAATTAAAGAAGTTAAAAATAGTTAGATAAAAAATTAGATCAATAAAATCGATAAAAAAGAGACAAAAGAAATGGCAAGAAAATCTCCAAAAATAAGCGATTGCTGTTGCAAAAAAAAATATTAAAAAAAACGAAAAAAAAAGCAGTAAAAATTATAACACAAAACATAGATAAAAAAAATAACAAGAAAACCGCCACAAAAAAAACATTAAAAATTCAATTAAAAAGAGACTAAAACGATAAAAAAGACCACAAAAAAGGCGTTTAAAAATTATACCAAATAACGGGACAAAAAGGTAGCAAAAAGAACGTCAAAAAGCGAACGAAAAAGGTGACAAGAAGTGTCACAAAAAATGCAACAAAAAAAAAAAATTAAAAAACAGCGAAAGAAAAGCGTTAAAAACAGTGAAACAAGAAATGCGAAAAAAAAAAGAATCGATAAAGAAGAAGACAAAAAAACTGAGACAGAGATTAAAAAAGCGACCAAAAAAAAGCTAAAGAAAGGTAACAAAGAATCAAGTAAAAATGGGACAAATAAAGATAAAAAGGGGCAAAAAAGATTGAAGGGAATTAAAAATGTTACAAAAAACAATTGAAAAAAACCGGCTTTAAAAAAAGGCTAGAATTGGGGAAAAAGAGAACAGAAAAAGAAGGGGACAAGAGGGGCTCGCAAGAAAATGTGACAAAAAAGTCGCAAATAAAAATGTAAAAAAGGCGACAAGAAGCATTAAAAAATACGACAAAAAAAGACGGTTAAAAAAAGACCAGAAAAAGAGCATAAAAACAATGAGACAAAAAACACGAGAAAAAAAAGAATCGATAAAAAAGGACAAGAAAACTTCGACAAAAAAGACAAAAACAAAGGCGATTAAAAAAACTAAAATATAAAAAAAGTGAAAAAAAGACGAACAAAAGACGTTAAAAATAATGAAACAAAAAAACTAGACCAATAAAATCGATAAAAAAGACCAAAAAAACGTAAAAAAAGAGTAACAAGAAGGAATCGCAAGAAAATGCCAAAAAATAGGCGATCAATATTGCAAAAAAAAAGGAAAAAATGTTTTTTTAACGAAAAAAGAAGGCAGTAAAAACTATAACACAAAACATAGATAAAAAGATAACAAGAAAATTACGACAAAAAAAGCCATTAAAAATGCGATTAAAATGAGGCGACCAAAAAAAGCCCGAAGAAAGGCAATAGAACAAAACAAAAAAACGATAAAAGGACAAAAAAGGCAAAACATGTTGAAGGGGTCATACAATTTTTACAAAAAAAACCGACTGAAAAAACTATAATAAAAAAAGGGGAAAAAACGGACGAATGAAAGACGTTAAAAATGAGAAAAAAAAAGAACCTTGATGGAGTCGCAAAACATGTTAGAAAAAACAAAAAAATAAAAAAAAACCAAAGAAGGTAAAAAAAGACGAAAGAAATACGTTAAAATGAATCAGATAAAAAAATGCGACAAGAAAAGCGCGACAAAAGGCCATAAAAAATACGACACAAAAACGACCAAAAAAAAGTCGAAAGAAAGACGATAAAAATTGAGACGAAAAAAACGAAACAAAAAATTGGATTAAAAAAGTGTTAAAAAACGACCAAAAAAAAATGCGACAAGAGCAGAAAAAATAGCATAAAAAAAAGACCAGAGGAAAAGCTATAAAAACAATGAGACAAAAAACACGAGAAAAAAGTAATTGATAAAAAAAGGACAAGCAAATCACGACTACAAAAGACCACTAAAAAAGGCGATTGAAAATAAGCGACCAAAAAAAAGCCCAAAGAAAGGCGATAAAACATGAAACAAAAAAAGGAGACCAAAAAACAATGAAAAAAACCAAAATAAATGAAATACGTTAAAAATAATGAGACAAAAAATTAGACCAATAAAATCAATAAAAAAAGACCAAAAAAAAACATAAAAAAGAGTGGTGACCAAAAAAACCCAAAGAAAGGCGATAAAATATGAAACCAAAAAACGGGACAAAAAGGACAAACAAGACAAAAAAATGTTGAAGGGGTAATAAAAATTAAAAACAAGGCGATTGAAAAAACCAAAATAAAAAAAAGTTGCAAAAAAAGACGAATGAAAGACGTTAAACATAACGAGACAAAAAAAAGCAAAAAAGAGTGACAAGGAATCGCAAGAAAATGTGACACAAAAGGGGCAAACAAAAGAAAGAAAAAACATGTTGATGGGGTCGTAGAAAATGTTACAAAAAACAAAGAAAAAAATAAAGAAAATAAGAGATGGTGAAAAAAAAGACGAAAGAAAATCGTTAAATTTAATGAGATAAAAAATGCGACAAAAAAGAATGTAAAAAGATGACCAGAGCATAAAAAAATACGATAAAAAAAAAACAGAAAAGATCGATAAAAACAATGATACAAAACACATGAGAAGAAAAAAAGAATCGATAAAAAAGCACAAGAAAACCACGACAGAAGCAGACCACTAAAAAAAGGTTACCACAAAAGGACCGAAGAAAGGCGATAAAACATTAAACAAAAAAAACAGAACAAAGAAAGAACGATAAAAAGGACAAAAAGGCAAAAAATGTTGAAGTTGTCATAAAAATTGTACAAAAAAAAGCCGATTGATAAAACTAGAATGAAAAAAGGTGAAAAAAAGGACGAATAAAAGACGTAAAAAATAATGAGACAAACACTAACATCGTAAAAAAAAAGAGGTAAAAAAAAGTAACAAGAAGGAATCGCAAGAAAATATGGCAAAAAAGGGACAAACAAAACAGAGAAAAAACGTTGATGGGGTCGTAAAAAATCTTACAAAAACAAGGCGATTAAAAAATAACGAAAATAAAAGAAGGTGAAAAAAAGACGCAAGAAAGACGTTAAATTGAGAAAAAAAAATGCGAAAACAGTCGATAAAAAAAGAGGACAAGAAAACCGCGACAAAAAAGACCGTTAAAAATGCGATTAAAAATAAGCGACCAAAGAAAAAAGTACAAAGAAAGGCGATAAAACATGCAAAAAAAAGGAGACCAAAAAACAATGAAAAGGACAAAAAAGGCAAAAAATGTTGAAAGCGCCGTAAATATTTTACAAAAAAATTAGGCAATTGAAAAAACTAAAGTAAAAAAAAAAGAATGAAAGACGTTAAAAATAA